GAGGAGAAGAGGGCGTCCAGGCCCGGCGGGGCAGGGCTGTTCTGCGGGGCGCCCGCCTCCGTCCGCAGCTCCAGGACATTCTCCGTGTAGATGTCCTCCAGGCACAGGGTCTCCGCCCCGTCGTAGGAGCTCAGGAAGCGCGACTGGGCGGAGACCGTGGTCCGCAGCTTGGACGTGTACTTCTGACATGCGGCGTCTGGAAGGCAGAGGAGGAGGCTGAGCGGGGGCACCTGAGTGGAGGGAGGGCTGCGTGGGGCGGGGTGGCCTCACAGGTGGCCTTACACGTGGGAGACAAGAGCCAGCGGGCTCTTCAGCCACAAGCCGTGGACTTGGAGGACGGCCACCCAACCTTCCTCACCCTCGGTTTACTCCCCTGGGAAGTGGGAGAGGCGGCCGTGGTCCCTGCCTCCGAGGGTTTTTACGTGGATCCGTGAAGATACTTCAGGTCAAGCCCTTCATGCAGCGCTCGACACAAAGGAAGTGCTCGGAAGACCCTAGTCAGTGCCCTCATTACCAAGGACATCGGGGAGAGCGGCCGAGGGGAAGGAGCGCTAGGCTGGGTCAGAAGGCCTGCGTTGTGCCCTGGCCGGTGTGGCTCAGGGGTTAGAGCGCCGGCCCAAGCACTGAGAGGTCGCGGGTTCGATTCCTGGTCAAGGGCATGTACCCGGGTTGCCAGTTAGATCCCTGGTTGGGGGTCAGGCAGGAGGCAGTCAACCGATGTGTCTCTCTCACATCAATGTTTCTCTCTTTCTCTCTCCCTCCCTCCTTCCCTCCCTTCCTCTCTTTCTAAAAAGGAATGGGGAAAATATTCTCGAGTGAGGATTAAAAAGAGGAGGAAGAGGAGAAGGAGGAGGATGGGGTGGGGGGGCCTGCATTCGAACCCCAAGCAGCCTAGGGGAGTCCCTGCACCACCCAGCCCAGCTGGATCACTCAGCTCAGCGGGGTCTTTCTAAAGGGAAGCAGAAGGTGTGATTTCTGAAGTCAGACACACCTGAGCTTGAGACCTGGAAGCCTGGGGCCCCCCTGAGCTTGGGCGAGCCACTTTTCTGGCCTCGGTCGTCTCATCTGTGAACATGGCAACAATCCATATCTTCAAAGATCGTTTCAGGAGGAAACGAGATAAAATGGAGTTTAGAAGAATGCCTAAGCCGTGGCAAACTTCCAAAACAAGACTCACACCGACTAAAGCCAGACCACCCTCGCCTGCCCCCTCTGCACCGCCCGCCCCAGGTTCCACATCTGCAAAGCAGAGAGGCCACACGGAGACTGTAAACACAGCACGGGGCAGGGTGCCTGAGGGGCCGTGACCTGTGCCCTGAGAGCCGCCACCTTATCTAAATCCACTTGTTCTCCGGTTTCTGAGGGTGAGTGGCTGCCTCGCAGAGATCAAGAGGTTCCATCCCCACGTAAGGGCTGGGGACGTCTGATCACTGCAGGGCACACCTGAATCTCAGGCACCACTGTCTGTCAACGGGGATTGAAAAACAAATTTAAAACTGAAGGAGAGACCAGCCCTGTTCCAACGTGTGCCCGTATCTCCTTGGTGCACATCATGGGCTGGTGAGGGGCGCGTGTAGTCAGCCCTCCACACACAGCAGCTCCCCTGACCATTCTGGAAATAATAAGCACTAATACGGTAATAGTCATATCGGCCACATCGATCCTGTTCATCCCCCAAGAGCCCGATGAGACGGGGGTGGAGTCACCCTCAGGATGAGGAAGGACACTGCGTCTTAGGGAGCCCCCCAGCCAGGAGGCGGGGTTCTAACTGACGCCCCTCACGCTGCAGCTTCTGCTCGTGCCCACGCAGTGCACAGCCCTGCCTCCTCGGCGATGGACTAAGAGGAACAGGGATGTACCTTCGAGAGAGAGGGCCAGCGGGACCGGCAGCTCCTGCACGTGCTGTAGGAGGAAGGCGGCCAGCCCGTTGGCCTTCACCGCGGCCAGATCCAGGAGCCTCCGCGCCTGTGGGGGAAGCGGAAGTCGTTCCTTCTCCAGAAGGCGGTGGAGTTGTGTGGGGAGGCCAGAGGGATCTCCTCCCGCACCCCACAAGCCAGGAGAGCAGCCAATCGGCAACTCGGGTTTAAAGATGTTCCCACCACGGCCCTAGCCGGTGTGGCTCAGTGGATAGAGCGTCGGCCTGCGGACTGAAGGGTCCCAGGTTCGATTCCTGTCAAGGGCGTGTACCTTGGTTGCGGGCACATCCCCAGTAGGGGGTGTGCAGGAGGAAGCTGATTGATGTTTCTCTCTCATCAATGTTTCTAACTCTCTATCCCTCTCCCTTCCTCTCTGTAAAAAATCAATAAAATATATTAAATAAAGAAAGAAAGAAATAAAGATGTCCCCACCACCATCGGGCGGCGAGATGCACACTTCCACACACACCCACTTGGGTCCCCTCTCCAATAATGGATTGCTCATTGCAGACAGGCAGCCACTAAAAGAGTGAATAACTTTAAAATAAGATAAACGGACAAACGAAACAGGTCCAAAAAAACAAAGTAGGTCCAGCCCTGGCCGGTGTGCTTAATGGTTAGAGCGTTGGCCCGCTCACTAAAGGGTTGTGGGTTCAATTCCCAGCTCCGGTCAGGACACATGTGTGAGGGAACCAATCAATGCGTCTCTCTCGCATTGATGTTTCTCTCTCTCTCTCTCTCTCTCTCTCTCTCTCTCTCTCTCAATCAATGGAAAAAATATCCTCAGGTGAGGATTAACCCCCCAAAATAGGTCCAGAGACAGAGCATGAAACAGACGGACAGATCTCAGACGAAAGGGGGTGGGAGAGGTTAACCAGAGAACGTACATGCACACGCACAGCCCATGGACACAGGCGATAGTGTGGTAAAGGCCAGGGTGGGGCAGGAGCCAGTGGAGGGGGACAAAGCGGGGGGCAGAGGGGGACATCTGTAATTCTCTCAACAACAATTTTTTTAAAAAAAAGGACATCCGGCCCCTGACTCACACGGCCCCCCAGCACAGGGAACCCTGTATGTCTAGGGCTCACTCAGTGACCTGGCCCCCCAGAATCCCAGAAGGGCCCTTATGGCTCCCAGAGAAGGTGAAGCCAGACCCTGTCCCTGAGACCCTGAGCTCCCCCCCACCCCCCCGCTCCTGGGAGCCTCATCCCCAAAGGAAAGGCAACACTGCCCTTCCCTCCCACAACTGTATGTGTGCTCGCGACTCTGTTTTTCAAAACAAAAGGATAGGGCCGTGGTCGGCAAACTGCGGCTCGCGAGCCACATGCGGCTCTTTGGCCCCTTGAGTGTGGCTCTTCCACAAAATACCACGTGCGGGCGCATGTACAGTGCTATTGAAACTTCGTGGCCCATGCGCAGAAGTTGGTTTTCGGCCTGGGCGAGCCTATTTTGAAGAAGTACTGTTGATATTTGGCTCTGTTGACTCATGAGTTTGCTGACCACTGGGATAGGGTGTCGGGGCCTGGCTTTGTCAGGCACTAAAACTATAGTGAAAGCAATGACTCACAGAGTCCGGCTTTCGGTTGCCACCAGCAGCTGTCATTGAGGACGGGCACAGGTCCTCGTAACACCCTACTTCTGCCCCGGGGTGATGGGAACACCTGTGTTCATGCCATCACGTATGAAATCATGCAGCACAATTCCATATCAGAAACCCTAGGTGGCATTTAATCCATATCAGGACTTAGTGTGCTTATATGCATCATTAAATGCAGATTTAATTTAATGAATTGTTACGATCTGTTGAGCTGTTCATTGAAAACAGACAGCCATAGCCCAGCCGGCGTGGCTCAGTGGTTAAGCATCAACCTACAAACCAAGAGGTTACAGTTCAATTGCCCTTCGGGGCACATGCCCAGGTGGAGGTCTCAGTTCCCATGGAGGGCGTGCAGGAGGCAGCCGATCCATGATTCTCTTTCATCATTGATGTTTCTCTCTCTCTCTCTCCCTTCCTCTCTGAAGTCAATAAAAACATATATATATTTTTTAATGCAACAACTTCTCCCCGCCTGGCTCCCTCCTCAGGGGGCCCCCTGGCCCACGTCTCCCCCTGGGACTGGCTGCACGGAGACCAGCGAGTCTGGTGACAAAGCAGCCTCTGTTCCTGAGAATGCTGATTGCGCAAGAAGCAAGCGCCTTACCCGCTGGGATGACGTGAAGATGGGCAGCCTGATTTCGTCACATTCGTACGGGCTGAGGAAGCCCCGCGCCTGCGCCAGGTCCAGCACGCCCTCCACATGGCTGTAGAGTCTCCGGACAATGGCTGGCCGGTGGCACTGCAGGTCCCGGGCCGGGTGGGGGGAGTGGGGGTCCCCCCAAGCACCTTTGTTCCACACGGTGTCCAGGAGGCGCCTGGCCGAGTGGGAGAGGGGCTGGCCCAGGACGTGCAGGCCCTCATATTCCTCCCAGGACAGCACGTCCCAGGAGAGCAGCCAGTCCAGGACGCTCTCGAAGGCCTCCAGGGACCCTGAGCCCAGCAGCCCCACCAGCCGGCTCCTCTGGGCTTGGAAAGCTTGCTGCGTGCACATGTCATGGCCTGCGGAGGAGAGGGGGTCAGCAGGCAGGCATGCGGGGCAGGGGCAGGGGAGGGGCCAGTCAGCCCACCCGAGGCCATGCCCGCCATGGTTCTGCCCTCAGACATTCCCCAGTCCAAGTTCCCCATTGCACAGATGCACAAACTGAGGCCCAGAGAAGGCAAGAAAGGACCCGCAGAGGGTTTGAAGTAGGTGGGAGCTCAATCAAGCTCCCCTATTCATGCTTCATCTGAGCCAATAGGAAGAGCAATGGCCCCCAAGGGATCCAGAAATGAATTCTCTCTGAGGCGGTGACAGAGGGCTCCTCCATGCCGGCTGGGTTCTGGCCACAGCAGCTCTCCCTTCAATAACGGCTGACGTTCATTAAGCACCTACTATGCACCAGGCACCACTGTAGGCAGTTTCCTGCGGGAATTCATTTACCCCTTCCGTCCGCTCTGAAGTCGATGCTGTGGTCAGCCCCATTTGACAGATGGCAAAACTAAGGCACAGAGAGGCTGGTGGCCTGCCCAAGGGTTCCAGAAGCATGCCTTTAATTCCCTTAGAGTTGGGGTCTCCCCACCCCACGCCTGTGCAGGGAACTCTCTGCTCCCCCAAGAGGCAGAGCCAGAACACTGCTGTAAAGAGCCCAAACCCAGTGAAGCAAAAGTCACGGTGCAAACGAAGTGGTGTCAACGCTCATGGGTCCACTGATCCCTCCCCCCTGCCCCGGGGCCTCGCCGCCCTCAGCACCGAGCATTGTGTGCCCGTCACCTCTCTGTCCACGGCTTGCTCTGGGCTCAGAGCAAGATGGTCATGAATCAAAATCCCACACGGGGAGGGGCGAGCCTGGGACCGTCTGTGCCCACCGGCACACGCCCGCCACGGTGAGGGGAAGGAGCAACCTCCAACCAGAAGCCTGTGCCCGCGGGGCGAGCAGACCCAGGCACATGAAAGAGGCAACAGATCAATGTGTCTCTCACATTGCTGTCTCTCTCTCTTTCTCTCTTTCTGTCTATCCCCATCCCTTTCACTCTCTAAAAAAGTCAGTGGAAAAATATCCTCAGGTGAGGATTAACCAAAAAAAAAAAGAAGAAGAAGAAAGCTGAGCAGGGGTGGGTAGAGGCAGGGCCCAGCAGCTCGGGCAGGCCTCGAGCAGGAACAGCCGGGCCGGGTGACACAGGACTGGCAGGTCTCGAGCTGCCGGGGGAAACCCCAAACGGATGGGCCGGAAACCAGAGTCTGCCAGCCAGTTGTGTAGAACAAGGTGATGCTGGGCAGTTCTGGCAGAAAGCCTTGTGCAGCCATGTGACCTGCACTGAGAGACCCCAGGGGACCCGAGACACGCCCACAGCGTGCTCACCCACCAGGGGACAGGCAGGCAGGGCCCTTCCTGAGCACAGAGTCTGGGGCAGCTGATGGATGTCCGAGCCACACACGCCCAACTAGGGATGTCAGGGCCCTGTGCATACCG